TAGCGTTCTCGCTATCGTGGGCTTCTGAAAGCGGCCCGCGAGGCCCCCCAGACGGCCAAGAAGGCCGCCAAGAGGGCCCCAAGATGGCCCCAAGAGTGGCCCAGGAGGGGGAACTCGCAGTGGCCCCGGGAGCCACCCCCAATAAGATGGCCCCCAAGACTCCAACCATGCCCCCAAGAGGCCCACAATAAGCCCCCACGGAGCCTCCAAAAGCCTCCAGAAACCCCGAAAAGGGGCCCCCGGAAGGCCGCCCCCGAGGCCTCCAAGAGGCTCCCAAGAAGCCCTGGAACCGAAGCAGAAGAGGAAGACTAACCAGAAACAACAGCACGACGGGAAGCGCCAAGCAGCATCTACGACATCGGAAGCCAACTATCTCCTCGTCTGAGGGTCGGCGGAAACGTGTATGCCCCTCGAGTATTCGAACACATGATTTGGTAAGCCAGCTTTCACGATATGCTGCACTGTCAGATTAGGTTAGTAGTTCAAGCTGTCCTCACGCTAGCTCAGAGGACGTGGATAAGCGAATGCATCACATAGCATCGCAGCTCATGACAGAAAGACCGTAGCATACTCGTGTCACGGATCTAGTACCAAACCTGGGAGTTCACTATTCACGCTGATTTCCATAAGGACACCTGACTTGCGCTGAAATGCTCACGCCGCGCGGCCTTGCAATTGAGCCTGTAGGTCCTCGAGGACTGTCAGCTTTGGTAAGCAATTCTTTTGTCCTCATGGGAAATTAGCGGACGTGGATCGGATACTCCACCACCTGATGTTTTGCAAAAGCGTGTCGCCGCATACATGTCTTTCCCTCGTCCTTGTCGGACGATCCCTCGTACAACAAACCTGCACTCGAGGGCATGCCCTGCCTGCCTAGCTGCTGGTCAGTCCACGGCGGCCCCCTTCCATACCGCAGCAACGACGCGCACTGGCAACAAAAAGTTTCGGCTTACACCCATTAAGGCGCACGCGCATCGCCGACGTCCATGCCTGAAGCATCGAACAATAACTCTGGTCAACCAGCGTTGAAGAAAAACTGTGCTACCAACTGTGGTACGCAATCTAATGTGTCCGCACGTTTCCCCAGAGGACGTGAATCAATGAATGCGTCATACAACATCGTGGCAACAAGACCGCAACACGCTCTTCTCACTGATCCAATACCACGGCTGGGCGACCGTGATGTCGAGGTGTACTACACAAGCGCACGCCGCACGGCCATGCAATAGAGCCCGTAGGTCCTGGGAGACTGTCGGCGTTGGTAGGCAATTCGATTGTCATCCTTTGCGCTCAAAGGACGTGACTAAAGTACGTAGCTCGCGTTTAGCTCAGAGGACGAGGATAAACGAACGCATCAGATACGTAGCTTCGCAAATCGTGGCAACAATAATGAGGCATACATTTCTCGATGACCAAGTTAACAGAGCTGGAAGGTCACAATCACACTGATGTACACGAGGATAATAAAACCTGCGCTGCGATACTTACGCCGCGCGGCCCTGCAATGGAGCCCGTAGGCCCTGGAGGACTGCCGTCAGCTTTGGTAAGCAATTCTGTTGTCCTCATGGCCAATCAGCGGATGTGGATGGGTTGATTACTGCATCACCCGATGTCCTGCTAACAGCGTGTCGCCGCATACATGCCAACCCTCGTCCAAATCAGCGAAGCGTCGGGTACAGCACGTGCAACAAGCCTGCACTCAAGTGTGCCCTGGCTGCCTAGCCCGTGAGTTTACCAAGGGACCCATCCAAAGCACAATATCAACTGTTGGCAAACAACCATTCTGGCACATGCATATAAGCCAATATCTGTGTCTGAATCGTCGAGCTCAGACTCTGGTAGACCAGCTTTCAAAATATGCTGCACCCCCAGCTGTGGTAAGCAGTCAAAGCTGCCCTCACGCTATCTCAGAGGACGTGGATAAGAGAATGCATCAGATACGTAGCTTCGCAACGCATTGCAACGAGAAGGCCGTCACTCTTCTCTCTGATCAAGTACCAGAGCTCGAAGGCCACTATGCACAATGATGCGCGCGAAGAGAAGAAAACCCGCGCTTCGATACTTACGCCGCGCGGCCTTGCAATGGAGCAAGCAGTTCTGTCGTCCCCATTGTGAATCCGAGGACGTGGATGGGTTACTGCATCACCGGGTGTCCTGCTAACAGCTTGTCGCCGCAAAATTCGCCAGCGTGCCCTCGGGCATGAGTTGGATTGCCCCTAGGACTCTTGCTCGATCCCCTGTTCCTGAGTCCTCACTCCTGAGGATTCTGTTTAGAGGCCCGGACCCCAAGTTCTCAAATCTCTAGGGGCTTGCCGCGTGGCTCCTGGGGCGTGTCGCATGACTTGCTCGGGCCTGCAAGGGCCCCAAGAAGGGCCAAGAGTGCCTCAAGAGGCCCCCAAGATGGCCCAAGAGGGCCCCGCATTGCCGAACGATCGGTCCAAGACGCCTAAGACGGCCTCCAATTGGCCGAAAACGCGCTCAAGACGCACCAAGAAGCCTCCACGATGACCCCAAAGAGGGCCCCAAGAAACAAACATCGCTTCATTCCGTTTGGGAAAAATACATTTTGTGCATACCCGAGATGTGAGCTTTTACAGTGTCCAAGACGGCCCACGAAGCCCCCCAAACCGCCCCAAGATGGCCCAATAGGCCCCCAAGAGGGCCACAAAACGGCCCAAGAGGACTGCAAGACGGCCCAAGAGAGCCCCAAGACTGCCCCAAAAAGGGCCCAAGAAGGGGAGCCCGAACCGACAATTCGAGCCTTTCACCCCAAGATGCCCCCAGGAGCCCCCAAGAAGCCACTAAGAGGCCCCGAGAAGATCCCAATATGACCCCAAGGCGCCCCAAGAGGCTCCAAAACGGCCCCAAGAGGCATCAAACCTGCCTCCACAAGCCCCCGAGAGGCTTCACGCGAAATCCCAACGAACATCCCAAAGGCCTATGACCCACAACCCTAGCAAGGTAGCGGGATGGGCCGAAGGCCATTCGACCTGCTTGGCACGGTGACGGAAAACGCATGTATTTTCAGAGCGCGAGATGTCACTGGCTTGCCCGTTCTCCCCGTCTGGAGGCTCTCTTGGGGCATCTTGGTGGCATATTGGGCGCCCTCTAGGGCTATCTAGAAGCCGCAGGAGGCCTCTTCAGAGGCAACTAGGGCGTGTTGGTTATCTTGGGAAGGCACTAGAGCGCGATAAAACACGAATGGAGATTCTGATAATACTGTTGATGATGACGACGAAATAATTACTGTCTCTTGGGAGCATCTTGGGCCTCTCCCAGGCCGTCCTTGGGCCGTCTTGTGGCTCTCTTAGGCCGTCTTGGGTCCCTTCTGGGCCGTCCTCAGGCACTCTTGGGAGCCTCTCGGGCCGTCATTGCACAATCTCGACTAACTGCCTCTGGAGCCCTGTTGGCTTAGGGTCTTGGAGCCCTGTGGTGTTAAGGCTTCATCACAACAAAAACAAAATCTAGCAAACAAGCTTGCGACAGTCAATGTAGCTATTGCATGTCCGGGCCTTCCTGGGGTTCCTGCTGGGCCTCTCTTGGGCCGTCTTGGGGCCCTTTTGGGCCGTCCTGCGACCCTCTTGGGCCGTCTTAACGGGCTTGGGCTGTCTCGGGGCCCTCTGGGAGCCCTCCTAGGTCCCTTTGGGGACGGGGCTCTCTTGGGAACCTTTTGGGGCCCTCAAGGGCCTCTCTTGGGTCGTCTTGGAGCTCTCTTGGGCCGTCTTGACGCGCACTTGGGCCGTTTGGGGGGTCTCTGGGGCATCTTGGGGCGGTCTTGGGGGCCTCCTGGGCCGTTTTGGACGCGGTGAAGAACAAAGAAGCGAATCTGCTAAAAATGCACGTTTTCTTTAGGAAATGGGACTGATTTTGCCTGGGCCTCTTAGGCTGTCTTGAACCATATTGGGCCCTCTTGGAGCGCTCCTGGGCCGTCCTCGGGCCCCCTTGGACCTCTCCGACGCCGTCTTGGAGGTATCTTGGGACCGCTTGGGTCGACTTAGGGCCTCTTGGGCGCTCTTGGGGCTGACTTGGGTCGTCTTGGTCCGAGAATGGCCGAAACTTGGGGCGATTACATCCCTACCCGTACAGATGCCACCCCCCTCGAACTCCACCCAGTTTCATTTCTTCCGGCTAACGGATCGCACGCTACGCGCGCTGTCCTTCATATTGCCATCCGCTCGTCGAGGTTGGACGACCGTCACGCGACACTTGTGCGAACAGCCTGCCCAAGCAGGAATGCCCTGACTAATTACCTGGCTGGAGAGTTTACAGCGGGCCTCCGCCATAGCACAACAAAGAGAAGCACTGGCAACAACAGCTTCGGCGAACAATCATGATGCTCGGTCACCATGCACATCATCAATAACGAGCTCGGCCAAGGGAGAAACCGATATGCACTGCAATGACACACAACCTGCCCTGCTTGCGTGCCCGTGGCCTGCTCAGACATCTGACGCCGTGGTCTTTTCGCGACGTGGCTCCCCAAAGGACTGAGACCCTTCCACAGGGCCAGCTTTTCACTCCGAGCCGTTGTTTCACGGCCCCAGGGCCCGGGGAGGGCCGTTTGCACGCCAGAGACGCCGGCGAAAGCGTTCAAGGTTGATTTCCGCGACGCGGAACCACTGGGGGACACTGGGCCCGACGGAATTCAACCATGAACAACCGGGGCCACGATCGGCTCCAAGCTGAACGATCGACGCGGTGTCAAAAACCTCTACGCGCGCCGACGCCGCACGAACCGACAACATGCAGCTGAAAACCTCCCTCTTTGATTTCGTCCAAGACGCGAGGATGTCGGCGGCGACGATAGGGGCGAATAGCCCAGGGGCGGGCATTACACGTGTTCGCCCGGGAGCCTTTTCAAAGACATCGATAATCGGCGCACCTGAATACATGTATTGCTCCCCCCCTGGGCTATTCGCCCCTACCGTCGCCTCTGAAAATGTCTGGGCGCCGCGCCGCCGCGTGACGTGCCCATGGCCCCGGCCCCTCCGGCGAGGCGCCTGGCCGGGCCTGCGGCGGGCTCTCCCCCCGGGCCGCGCCGTCCTCCTCCGCCTCTGCGACGCCACCTGCGTCCGCCTCCGCCTCTGCGTCCGGCAGCAGATAGGTCGCCGCGACGTCCTCCCAGGTTCCCCAGGAATGGTCAGCAACGAAAGGACCCCCAAGCATTTGGGAGGGGACCGGAGTCAGGAGGGCCAAAACAATCAGGGATAGGGGCTGCTCCGGGGATGTATCAAACCAAACGAATGATTACCGGTAATGAAACGACGGGGAACTGACTGAGGCCGAGCCTTCAGTATGTTATAAAAGGATAGGGGTTCTTTTGATCCTCGATGAACGAACGGGAGCGGGCAGTCTACCGCTGCAACTCGTGTTGCTGCTGCCCCTCCTCCTATCGGCGGCTGCGCCGCACCGTGGGCAACGCGGGGCCGACTCGGATCGGGCCGGCCGAGACCGAATATCGGCCAGATCGATCGGATCGACATAGGCCCTGATCCAAGGGGCGATTTACGGTCGGGGCTCCCTCAACGGGGGCATCGCTAAACGGGGGTATGGGCTAGTCCACATGCCCCCGTTGACTATGCCCACTGTCTAGAGAAGCCAGGGCCCTAAGCGGGGGCAGTCGGCGTCCCCCGTGCCCCTGTTTGCTGCGACCCCGTCACCAGCGCCCTGATACGGCAGCCTGGTGCGAGATGCTGGGAGAACCCGCCCGCGAGGAGAGCTTCACCCTTCCTGTCCCGTTCGCCGATGGTCGGCGGGTTCGCGGGTCCGCTGGTTTCGCCGCGCCTGAGGAGCTACTGTAAAGGCCGCGCTTTGCCACCAGAGGTCTCGACTCTTTCCCTGAGGGGTAACGATAAGGGGGGGAGTGGCACAGGGGGGGAAACATCGACTTGGAATCGGCGATACATCCTCGATACATCGACGATAGGACCCCGTAGCGGAACCGGCCCCGTATCGGAAATCAGTTGGCGGGAGTCGATATACCCCCTCTGAGCCTATTTCACACAGATCGTTGCCCGTGATTTCCAGGGACTGGTTCTTCGTCCCGAGCTCTGAATTGACGGCCGTAGGGCCAGGCAGGGACCCCCATAGGTGAAAGGAACTACCAACAAAAAACCATCCGTCGTGATTTGCTCCCGACGCGAGGGTGGTATGAGGATCCAGTAGTTTTACCAACTCTAAATTAAGAGTGGAGCTTTCATAGCCCAATTGATGAGCAACTTGTGCCCACGTTCATATTGTAGTTGTTTGTTCTTCATGTTCTTCCCGTAACACTTTCTTGCTTAGGCTCATCTTGTGGATTGGTGATGTAATCGTTGTTGCCATTGCGAGAAGTGTGTATAGTGACCGCTAAGCTTCTGTAGCTACGACGACGACGAAACCCAGCCGGCCAGGCGGGCACGCGCGGTGCGGGCGGGGCGCTCTTTGCAATCGCAGCCAACACACAGCTGCGGCTATGTTACTGTGCGTGGCGTAGGCATACGGGGGGGGGGCTAAATCAACTGAGCCAAACTGGGGCGCAGAACAACATGCCCTTGGAGGTGAACGTCCGACTGGAACGTACAGCACGACATATTGCGGCATGCTGTTATCCGAGCGGCACGACCACTCAAAGCCCGCCAAGTCGTTTTTGCTACATAGTCCAAGATGTTTCAATGTGCGCGCCGCTCCTGCGGAAGCGACACACACATGCGAACATTTGATACAGAACCAGTGGATGAGGAATCCAGAGTCTGGAATGGAAGCCGGTGGAACTCCAATCGCAGATTGGCCATGGACATGACTGCCGCCCTCATCGGCTGAACGGGTCGCCCTGCTGCCATGTCCACCAACTGTGAACTATACATTTGATACAAGACCCTTAGGGACGAACTGTACACGAAAGAACTGAACAGCGCTCCGTGGCTCAACGTAATGTCACTCACAGTATACCGCATGGCCTTGCATAGCCAAGAATGGCATTAGCATTGCATATCGTTTCATGGCGCGCCATAGCATAGAACTGAGTTTTTGTGAGGCCATTGCCACAACAATACAAATGAGGAGACCCTTTGCAAGCCTGACCAAATAACGACGCACATCGGTGTCACGGCGCTCTCTGGCCTCGAAGCTGGTGACCCCCCTCCTCCTCTCGGGGGATGCCAGCCTGTCAAGCCTCCCCCTCCGTGTCGTCGTCCTCCTCACCTCTGCCGCCGCCAGACTCTTCATCGAACAGCCTATGTCACTCTGTTGGTTCGGACCACTGACTGACTAGGCGCACACACGCAATGGACGTCACAAAAACAAATGCGCGCCACAGGCCGCACAATTATTATCTGATCCACGCACTTACAAGACATGCTGGATGCTGCTGAAAGAGCTGGAGCACGAGCCGGGATGAAGATACATTGGGACAAACTCCGGTTGATTCAAAACGGATGCGAAATTCACTTGCTCATCTACGAGGGCCGCGCAATTCTTGCCAGAGACCACTTGTCGTACCTAGCGGCCACGCTGTACAGCTCAAATTGCGTTGCGGAAGAATTGAATAAGCGGCTAGGTAAGATTGTGTATCCACATTCGACCTCTTATCTGAGTCAGTCAGAAAAATAAAGCGGATGGATTCCAAGCTAAATGCCTCAGACAAATGTTAAGCATTTCACCGCTTTTCTTGTCGCGCGTGTCAAATAAGCCTGTGCTGGAACAGGCTCGCAAGGACCCTTCTTGTAACCAGCTTTTGCGGCAGCAGCATGCGCTGTATGGGAAAACAGGTAGGGCTCCGAACCATGACTTCCTTAAACAAGCAATATTTCAGCCTGACACTGTTCTCTCTGCTACGGACGCGCTCAAACGCAGGCGCGGGCGACCGCAGCGGGAATGGGCAACTGGGCTGCACAGAACAATTCCGACACGTTTCGATTCGCACGCTTTGCTTCTACAGTACCTACAGGATCCTGTGCAATGGAATGCTTTGGTCAATCGCCACGCTCAGCAGCACGGCGAGTGCGAGGGGCATATTTCATCGATTGGCCTATTGACTTCCCTGGCCGCGCGCCCAGGCAAGGGGCAATATCACACTGAAGGCCTCCGTGCTGATGTGAATGCAGAGCCACAAGCCAGACATAATCGAATTCACTGAGGGCGTAACGGCGTAACGGTCTGGACGCCGGCACTTATAGATAGAGTGCCTGTCCGCCCTTGGCGTTCCCAGCGCAGGGAAGCGGAGGAATGCCTTGCAAGTTTTCGGTTCCCACGGCAGTTTCGTTGCGTCTCAGGTGTCCCACCCCCTTGCACACCACATCCTCCGTATCTCCTCCTCCTCCTCCTCCTCCTCCTCCTCCTCCTCCTCCTCCTCATCCTCCTCATCATCATCATCCTCATCCTCCTGCCACGCACGCTGTAAACTTTGCAACCACCGTCGTGCCGCCGCTCCCGCAAAGCGGTGAGAACACGGTGGCATTGTATTCCTTCGCCCACGTGCTCCGCCGTATGCCTTGTGAAAGAGTGAGTGAGTGAGTGGTGGGTCAATGACATGTTGGGGCCACGAGCGACCAATCGGGGCAGCCTGGCAGCCTTGGAGGCCCTCGTCAAACTCTGGCAGATGGCAGAGCCCCCCGCTCTCGCTGCGCCCACCGCGCAAAAAACCAGCCAGCAAAACGCCCTCCTGCTCTGAAGAGAAGGGCGACTCCCCTTCGTGCAGGAGTGCTTGGCAAAACTTGGGGCTGCGCAGAGCCGGGGGCTTCGGCCATTTGAACGGGTTATCATCCTGAGCCGTTCTTTGATGGCCCCAGGCCCCGGCGAGGGCCCCCGGCGAGGCCGGAAACGACGAAAAGCCTCCGCCTTGATTTCCCCAAGCTGTCTGGGGACCCATGCATCCGACGATCTGACTTTTGCAGTGCGCGGCCCCAGAGGTCCCGACCCCTTCTCCAAGGCCATCTTTTCCTCCCAAATCAATGTTTGGTGGCCCCTGGGCTCCGCAACGGGCCCTGGAAGCCCAAATCGAAGAAGAATCGCTGGCTGGAAAATCTATATCGCCGAGAATCTGGGGTCACTCGGTTTTTGGACCATAATTCGAGCCTCCGGCGGCAATTCAGGGCGATCTGGGCGCCCCCAAAACGCCGAACGCCATCGGCGAGGCGCAAGTGCGAGAGCGCATCCCCAGCTAGGTAAACCTCGAGGCGCCCACGAGGAGCGCGTTTCTAATGTTCGGCGATGACGGGCGTCATGGGGGGGGGGGGGGGGCGGGCGGGGGGGCATGACGTAACGACCCCCCCGCCGTGTGGCTCCGGCACCGCAGCCGCGCCCGCGCGCGCGACGCGACGAGCGACAAACGACGACGACGACATCATCATCATCACTCGGCCTCTGGGCGACGCTGGAGTCCTGGCCGTCTAAGTCGCTCGATGTGAGAACTGGCGTGCCTGCGAGACACAGGCGCTGCGGTGACACAGGGCGGCAAATATTCAAAACTCCCCCCCGAGTCGATCAAAAGAAAAACACAACTCTAGACTAGCAAGATAGAAGGAGCTCAACTCAGAATTCAGTACGGCATACCACTGGAAACTCCGAATGATCCACGCGTGGTCGGTGCTCTGTCCTTGCATATGGGTGAAACGCCCGAAACTCGATTTTCGCCATTGTTGCCACTCCCCCTCGGAAGCTTCCCATTTCTCGGAGTCCCAGGCAGCAGTCTTCCAGTCCGTCCCATAATATTAATAAATGGTTGCCCCATCTCCAGACATGAAAATTATAATGATGTCCTTGGCATCCCAGGGCCCGCTCTAAAAACTGCAGTCACTCATAGTCTTTGTAACGCACAGCTAAATTCATGATGCGGGCGGGGTCGCACAGCTGCACCCTGGCAGCGTGACCCGCCCAACGATAATCCAACGCCAAAACGTACTCATCCCACGGATTGACCCCATATGTTTGCATCTGCTTGTGTAACACACGGTGGAATCTCGACATATAGCTCGCCATCTCCTCATCGCCGCCTTTACGTAAGCCAATCATATACCTAAGCTTCCTGGCCTGGGCTGCTCGGATCATGCTCACGCGCTGGCTCGTGAAATTCAAGCCCCCGAAACAGGAGAAACAAAACCAAACTTGGCGAGCCACGGAGTCCAGTAACCTCAAACGCT